CACGCAGGCACTTCCAGGGTATGGCTTGCTTTGAACAGATCACTCGGTATAAAGGAGAAGAGAAAGTGAAGGGGTGGAGGAGGTAGAAGAGGGAGAAGACGAGAGGAGAGAAAGCCCCTGATCTCACAGAGCCCAACCCTGTGAGACAGTCTCTGATGACCAGGGAAAGGCTTTGAAAAATGGAGGGCAGCATACAAACCCACTCTCTGAAAGTGGGGGTGGATCCTGGCAGATATCACATGGGGACCCCTGCTGTGGAGCCAGGGGGACCTCGAATGAGTTCAGGTGATAAAAAAAATATATATATAAAAGTTAATAGAGAGCTGCCACACTGTCTTCTAATTCCCAGTGGGAATCCCGGGGGCAGAGCGTATCAGGCTGCTGCATCTTAGTGCCCAGCTACACTGCACACATCCCGAGAGGTCGCTCAGAGCTGAGGAACACTCTCTCAGCTTGGGATGAAAGCGTCTTCGCGTTAAATGCGCCACGCAGACATCTTGGTTTGAATGCCTCTCCTGCTACGTCCCTTCCTCCCAGCAGATCCCTGAATGCTTGCTGGCTACAGAGGATAAAACCTGCAGTAAGGACCACAAAAATGGGATGTGTGTGCCTCTGGTTAGAAAAGCGGGGTCCTGTGGATGCCCCAGGAAGGATGCCCTTCAGGACCCAAATCTGGCTCTTTCCGTGTTGAAATCATTTGTTACCTTCTTCCTGGTGTACTTGGAAAAAGTCAGAATGCATTAGTGGGCCAAGCAGGCCCTGTGTGATCAGTTTACCCTGGACCACTCTCCCCTTTGACTGCCACACTCCAAGTGAGCAACACTCCTCCACAGTTCTTCAACACATTCTTCTCCATCGTCACTCCTGCAGGCTCTGCACACCGATTCTCCTCCCCTGGACATCCCTTCAGTCAGCTGTCTGTGAGTCTCACTCTTTCACACCGTCTGGCCTCAGCTGCTGACATGCTGGGTTCCATCTTTCCCCGGAGAAGAGGTCTATTTTTTCTAACTCAACATCTTTTTGAGAGATCCCACAACACACAGTTATTTATTATCTATCCCTTTCAGTGGCCTCTTATGTCTCAGATCCAGGATTCAGAGAATTGTGTGTTTATGCCTGCTGTGTCGTTGGTGTCCAAGCACAAAGCAGAAGCTCGAGAGATATTTGTGGAACCCATGGCTGGTTGGTGCAGAGAAGGAAAGCAGAGCTTTAGATGCGCAGGTAGATGCTGCAAGAGGTCCGGAGGTGACCACATCCCCGAGAGGCAGAGAATGCAGTCTGTTGACTGCTGGGAGGTGGGAGGTCAAGGAGGGGACAAGAAGGCTAGCTTGTCTACTGATGTCCTATCCTCTACTGGAAAGCACCATGTGTACAAATGTGTGGTGATGTAGGCTGTGAGTTTATCATTTCACTTGAGTCTGTGTCTACGACTGGGGACATGAGCTCCACATGCATCCACCCCACCTGGCCATAATTCATTACCCATCCTGAGATCACACAGATGAAAACATTTCTAAACTATGACAAAAGATCCTAAGGATGGGTCACTCAGAACAGATCCTGTTGTTAGTGGCCTGTGATTGTAGTTTTGAGTAATACTTATGAAAACATTATTTAGAGAATGTGACCAAGAGATGATATGGTTTAGCTGTGTGGAGGAAAGAAGGGAGGGGGAGAGGAAGCTGAGGCCTTCTGAGTGGAGAGTCTACTTCTGCAAAGTTCCAAGGTCAACAGGTAAGTGCCCAATAGAGAGGTAAGAAGTAGATAATTTGAGCATGGGAGTTGGTCACCAAGGCTAAAACCAGAAACCGTTGAACGGCAGGGAAGTCGCCTCTGGTTTTGAGAGGAGAGCTGTTTTCCATCATAAGTCGGACAGCACTATGAACTTTTTAAAGCCATGCATTCCTATAACTTGATACAACTCACTTATTTTTAGACAGGATCTTACTATGTCACCCTGACTGGCCTGGAATTTGCTATATAGGCAAAATTTGGGCTGGAATTCACAGAAATCTGTCTGCCTCTGTCTCCTGAGTTCTGGAATTAAAGCTGTGTACCACCATGCTTGACTTCAATTATATAATTGTACTGCTCTGTAATTTGGATACAATTATAAAATTTGTCATATTTTCTTAGACATAAATTCTTTTTGAAATGAAAAGATCTGTGATAGGGTATCAGAGCAACCAGGTTAGGTGGAGGCAGGTGCCGGATGCCTTAGTAATCTGGAGAACTATTTGAGACCTGCTCCTCCGTAATGTCTCCCAGGCTCCCAGGCTGGCTGCCTGAGCTGGTGCCCGTCTGGCATTGTCCTCCAGTCCCGCCCTAGTCTGAGCTCTGGAAAATATCTTGGGTCTCTATGAGGGTTAAAATTCACTGCCAACTTGATTGCACCTGACCACAGGCATATCAGTGAAGGTATTTCTAGAGAGGCTTAACCAGGGCAGAGAGATGTCCTGACTGTGAGGAGGTGCCTCTCACGGGCCTGGGTCCCAGACTGAGTAGAGGAAGCAAGCAGCATTCATCTTAGCTTCTTGACTGATAGAATATGAGCAGCTGCCTCAAGCTTCCGCAGCTGTGGGGAACCGTATCCTCAAAAGGCAGTCCAAATAACCCTTCCTTCATCTAATTGCTTGTATCCGGTCTTAGTAATGAAAACGATGTAACCCACATGGTCCTGGGTAGGCAAGACGGTCCTCAATAGAGCCATTGAGCAGCTAGATACAACTCCAAATGGTGTCTTGAAGTCCACACCCCCACAGAGGCAGGCTGGGCCCTTCTGTGGGGCAGGAATGAAGATGGAGACCTTGGCGACATCTCAGGGTTCTTCCCAATGTGCTCTCCAGGGGCCGTGGTCCACAGCCGGCATCCTTCATCCTCACTTGGCCCTGGGGCTTGGGCTGCATCCGACCCAGCAGTGCTCCAAACCTTCCACAGGAGGGCCCAGCAAGGACCAGGTTTCTGCAGCTTCTCCTTCCCCGAGCCTCTCCAGCTGCTGCCCTCCTCCAGTTCTGAGGTCACACCGCTGCTCTGGCTAGCTTCCTGACTAGCAACCCTTCCTGACACACAGGATTCCATCACTGCCTTCTCTTGAGAGCAGGCAACTCCGGGTCCTGCCTGCAGGGGTTGAAGTTCGGTCTTTCTAGAGGTGACTATGCTGCCATCTGACTGATGTTTAAGCCACCAACACCTCCAAATGAGCGCTGTCGTCTCAGAACCCTGAGTCCATCTGGAGCCTCACCAAGTCCCTCCAGCTGGTGTCCAGCTGGGGTATCTCCTGCCCTATTTTGGCCTTTCTGATGCCAGCCTCTGTTCTTCCAGCCTAGACTCCCTCTTCCAAGAAGGCCAAGGTCCTGGGAATGGAAAAGGGTGGCTTCCCCTGGTGAGTGCTGAGGTCCTCTGTGAAGGTCCTCCTGCCAAGGTTGGCCACCCTACCTCTTGACCTTTGCATTGCCCAATGCCATGACTTCCTATGGTGTGCACCAGGCAGGCAAATGGTCTGAGGAGGAAAGATACGGCACACCCCTGCAGGATGTGCGGGTACCATCCATGTAACCTCCCCCCATTTCCTTCCTCATCTGGTCCCTCTACTGCTCACCCTCTACCCGCCCTCCACAAGCTGGTCTCCGTGTCCTTGGCTGCAGAGAAAAGGACGTGGTCTACTGTTCTGCAAACTGCTCAATGTCAGGTTTTGCCAAGGGGGCTTTCTCTTATCTCCCACTCTCCGTCCTCGGAACGATATTCAGCTGGTTTCAGTGTGGGGATTAATCTAACCCAAGTGAACCATCTACCCCTCTGCATGGAGAATCCTCTCAGGTCTGTTGTTTATCTGTCTTCCTCCTTCCCCACCCTAATCTTTGGAGCTTAAAAGGCTTAAAATGCTTCTTAGGCCTGGAATCATTCCTATAAGGCAACTATTGATGAGCTAAACAGGAATGATTTCAAAAGTTAGTGTGAGAACTCTGCTCTCCAATCCCGCTCCCATGCACCAGGCAGAAGAGAAAACTTGTTCTTGCGTTGTCTCACTTTCTAACACCCTCAGATGCTTTCTCCTCAGGGAGAAGAGGGCCACCGTGACCCTCACACATGCCAGCTCATCCCTCCACCTACTCACCTGCTCAAACAGGGACATCCAACAAGACTGCTTCACGCCAGCTCAGCCCAAGGGGTGGGCACTAACTCAATCTAGAGGAAGTGTTCTCCCCATCATCCTCCCCACCGTCCTCCCTACCATCCTTCCCACCATCCTACCTATCGTCCTCCCTACATCCTCCCCACTGTCCTCCCCACCATCCTCCCCACCATCCTTTCCACCATCCTCCCCACCATCCTCCCCACTGTCCTCCCCACCATCCTCCCCACCATCCTCCCCACCATCCTCCCCACCATCCTCCCCACCATCCTCCCCACCATCCTCCCCACCATCCTTTCTACCATCCTCCCCACCATCCTCCCCACCATCCTTTCTACCATCCTCCCCACCATCCTTTCTACCATCCTCCCCACCATCCTCCCCACCGTCCTCCCTACCATCCTCCCCTTATCTTCCCCACCATCCTTTCCACCATCCTCCCCACCATCCTCCCCACCATCCTCCCCACCGTCCTCCCCACCATCCTCCCTACCATCCTCCCCTTATCTTCCCCACCATCCTTTCCACCATCCTCCCCACCATCCTCCCCACCATCCTCCCCACCATCCTCCCCACCGTCCTCCCCACCATCCTCCCCACCATCCTCCCCACTGTCCTCCCCACCATCCTCCCCACCATCCTCCCCACCATCCTCCCCACCATCTTCCCCACCATCCTTTCCATCATCCTCCCCACCATCCTCCCCACTATCCTCCCCACCGTCCTCCCCACCGTCCTCCCCACCATCCTCCCCACCGTCCTCCCCACCGTCCTTTCCACCGTCCTCCCCACCATCCTCCCCATCATTCTCCCCACCGTCCTCCCCATCCTCCTCCCCGCCATCCTCTCCATTTGTGGCACAACCAACCACTGATCAGAAGAGCATCCTCCTTGCCGCTTAGGAGCTGCTTCGCTGGTGTTGTTTCATCTCCTGCTCACAACCCACGGAGGGAAGTTTCCAGCTGAGAAAGCAGAGCCTCAGAGAGGGGACGAGCCCACCCAACAGATGTCAGTCATGAGGCCCAGTGCCAGGTCTCAAGGCTCTGACTTGACCAGCCTTCCTGTGGCCCATCACAGTCTGGCTGTTTGAAGTGAAGAGGAATGTTGTGGGCAGTGATGGAGGGCAACCATGGGCAGAGTGTGAGCTTGCTGACACACCCAGAGAAGGAACCTCTATGCCAAGTGGAACCCATGGCAGCCTCACGCACTCAGAGGAGACAGAAAGACCCTGTTCAGGGCGTCTCTGCTGAGATGAACTCGCATGAGCAATGTACATTAGTGTTTGAGGAATCAGCCACTGACACCAGAACCACCCTAGTCATGTTAGAGTTGACATGGGGTGGGGGCGGGTGAGTGCTGCCTCTTCCTGGGGAAGTGTAGGCTGAAGACTCAGCAACCCTATTTTATATAATTTATAAAATGCGAAGGGGCCTGGCAGCCTCCATTGGGGGTGATTTTGGAAGGAAGCTGGAAACTCAAGTTTCGAGGGCACAGAGTGTGGCTGCAGGCAGCGGCTTCCCAAAGATCATTCACATTGTTGGGCAAACAAGAAGCCTTCTTTCCAGGGTCTGCACAGTCTCACTTATTTGGAAGGCCAGGCTTGGCATGAAGTAGAAAGAAGAGGTGTAGAAATCAGGGCAGAGACTGGGACTCACTCATGGGAATCTGTGCATTTTCCCCAGTTTGGAGGGAAGCAAGGCCCCAGGCTGTCTACACTCTAAATATTCCTTTACACTGTGTGAATATATGTCGCTACGATTGGTTTAATAAAGAAGCTGGCTGGTCAATAGCTGAAAAGGATAGAGTTAGGTGGAAAGCCAAACAGAATGATGGGAAAGAGGGCGGAATTAGTGGAGTCACCAGGAGACACAGAGGGGATAAGACGTGCAGGAGCACAGGTAAAGCCTCGAGTCAAGTGTCAATACATAGATTAATAGAAATGGGTTAATTTAAGTTATAAGAGCTAGTTAGTAATAAGCCTGAGCTATCAGCCCAGCATTTATAATTTATATTAAGTCTCTTGTGGTTATTTGGGAGTGACTCCCAGGATACAGGAAAATGCCTACACAGTAAGGTCTAAGAGGCATTGGGAGCTGGGTCATGAATTCTTGTGCTGTTTCTCCTATAGTGTGAGGAGAGAATAAAACAGAAATGAAAATTAATTTAGAAAGTGCATGCATGAAGGAGAGGTGACCACCAGCCTGTCTGTGTGAGACTAAGAACTTGGCTTGGAACTAAGCTGATTCAAACTTCTGGGGCAAAGTCACAGGCTAGTTTCCAGCTCCCCGCCCCCCTTGAGCTGCACATGTAGGATGAGGTGATGGCCACAGAAAGCCAGCATATCCCCAGGGCAGGGAATGCGACTTTGATTATATAGTGAGTGATAGGTGCAGGCTCATCCTTGGGAGACTTAGGATTGCATCGGAGAGCAGGAAAAGTCAAAAAAGATTTGAACAGGGTGGGAATACTAATGGCAAAGGGATTCTGGAAGACTGGGGTTAGGAGGGGGCTGAGTGCCAGGCAGTGCTTATCCCAGAGAGATGAAAGAGGGCAGGAACACTGGGCTCCTGATCTTCATTCACACTGCTCCTGATGTTCAAAACTCTTGTCCATCCTCCATGGTATTTAATTCTCACAACACAGTAGGGCAGACATTCTTTCTCAGTGACCGGGAAAGAGAGGCCTGGGGAATACAGATGGACATAAAGAATGGCGAGGTGAGACAGGACCAGATTCTAAGCCAGCTCCTCTGACTCTAAATTCACTCTGATTTTCAAAGCCCGGGAACGCGATGAAAAACACTTTTGATACCATTGTAGTAACGGCCGGCATTTGTTGCAGGCTCCGATGTGCTGGGCGCTATGCTAAGAGCCTTGAAGTCACCCGTGTGTTTCATTGTCGCCACGTTCCTGTGAGGAAGGTCCTCTAATCCTCCACTGTGTGCAGGTGGGGGAGCCGAAGACCAGGGAGATTAAGACACTTGCCCACGGGGCAGAGCCCTGATTGGAACCAAGATGAATCTGGCTTCCAATCTGTGTGTGTGACCTTTGTAATATTTTGCCTGCTCCTCAAAGAGGATGACTCCAGGGGTCCATGTCCCCATGACCTGATGCTGTTTGAAAAGATGAGAACAGGGGAAAGCAGCTCTCCACACCTTCAGCTTAGCTGAGATCAGCCAGTGCAGAGTTTCCTTGGGATGGGTAAGGAAGAAGGCAGGCTGAGTGCTGGGTACGCGGGCCACAGGTAACCCACTTGACAGGGTGCTAGTGGCCACCTACCTTCCCCCAATGCCCAGGTAGAGTCACTTTGCCAATATCTTCCAAATGGAGGCTGTAATAAAGGGAGCTGTGGTGGTTTGCATTTGAAACATCTCCACAAGCTTGTGTTCAGAAAATTCAGCCCCTAGTTTGTGGTACTGTTTCGAAGGCTGTGGGGCTTTTAAGAGATGGGGCCTGGCTGGTAGGAAGAGGCATTAGGGGTGGGCCTTTGAAAGTTATACCGGCCCCTGGTTCTGGTCTGTGTTTCCTACTTCTAGGTCAACCACCATGTAGGCAGCTGCTCCGGCTGGTGGACCCACAGCTATGGACAGAACACTCCTTCCTGCCTCCCTCTTAGGATAGGCTGAAAGCCTTCCGAGTCTCGGAGTCAAAATTAATCAACTGTTGGATCATAAGTGATAAGGTACCGTGGGGTCTCTGAATTTCCAGGCAGTGATTTGGGGACGGGTGAACCTCCAGTGGGTGCCTGGGGGCGCCTGTTCTCCAGTGTCCTTGGAGAGTTTCTCTTCTAGTTCTGAGTCCCCAGCTCACAGCAGGATTCTGGGCACAGCCGAACACTCCCCAAATATAGGTGGAATGAAAGAGCAAATCCATGAATGAGTGTGCTCATATTTCCTTCCATCGTATTCCTATGTCTGGACTAGACCAGGCTCAGGAGAGCCTCGGGGGTCTGTGCACCTTACTTCCAAAGGTCTCCGTGTCTGAAAGACACGTTCCCTTCTCATATCTGCTGTCTCTACCTGAGACCTCTGCTAAGAATCCAAGACTCATTCTCATACTCTTTATGCCAGTGGCTGGGAGGTGGGGCCTCTCCACTCTCGCCCGCACCCCTCAGCCTTGCTGTGGACCAGGTGGAGGGTAAGGAGCGGGTGACTTGTTACACTTGCAGTTGCTCCACCAGCTAGGAGGAGGTGAATACCACAGTTGATGTGTTCATGTCTTGTACTAGAAGGAAAGATCGGTGGGCTAATACAGGTAAACTACATAATGGGAGAAATTGTCTCTGCCTTCTGTTTATTCCAAGAAAGAGAAGAGCTCACCCTAGGAAACTGTTACCGTAGTCTTTGAAGCCCAGCTGCCTCTGCTCCAATCTTTCTTTGCAACTTACTGCCTGCAAGACCCTGGTTGGTTAAGAACTCTGGGACACAGTGATCATGTGAAAAGTGGGGTGACTCTTCACAGATTTCGATGAAGGTGAAGCTGGTGCTAGGTCCAGCACAGTTCCTGATGCAGTGATTGCTCAGTCAACGTGAGCACTGTCATTGGACTGTATCAGAACCCTCCCTCAGCGAACTGCCCCGTCCTTAAACTGCAGCCTGTTCCAGAGGATGGGCGACAGAGCCCCCCAGAAGCACAGACCTAGGGGTTGTGGCTGGTGAGCTGTGCTCTCCCTTCCCATTCCCAGGTCTTTTTCTACGTTGTGCCTTCTGGATGATGGGGAGGACTCAGATGAAAGGCACTTACCCTGTTGACTTACAGCGTTCTGTTTCTCTGTGTCCCTGGCGGGTACAAGGAGCCATGTCAGCCATGAAAAGACAGATTGGATGTTTCAAATTGGTTCCTGAAACAGGCAGGTGATTGGATAAAAAGATGATTCTAATCCGTTCAATTATGTGTCAAGTCCTGCACCAAGCCTGCATATGCATTATTTCGTCTGATTGCCACCCCAGCCCTATGAACTAGACACTCTATTATCTCTGCTCGATGGATGAGGGAATCAAGGTTCAGATAGGCTAAGTATCTTGTCCAGGGTCACCCAGCTAGGAAGTGGTGAATCCGAGGTTCAAATCCAAGTCTGTTTGACCTTTAAGTCTGAGGGACCTTGTTACCTATTAGGAAATGGAGTCTTGGAATAAAGGGGTTGCCGCTTTGACCCTGCTTCTGATTCCTTGGGTATTTCAGTTAAATGTGTACGTTCTTTCTTAGCAACAGGGACATTAGGGGTCCTGTGTATGAGACTCTTCAAACCCCAGTACCAAAAAAGTTCTTTTTCCTCCTCATTTTAGGCGAGGATGTGAAAAGGACACTTGACCCAGATACGGAGTGTCTCTTCCAATAAGCAGATCGCAGAGAATGCCTCTTAATTAAGCTGTGACCTTCACCCAGTTCAGCTGTTTCCTGTCTCTGGCTTTCTTTTCCTACTTACACTGCTCTGCATGGAAACGAGGCTGGACCCAGAAAGCATTAACCGTCTCCTGTCTTTCCTCTCTGAAACGCCAGTTCTGGCTCCAGTCTCCCTGCCAGGAGCTGCCCACAGGAAGTCACAGCTGGATGGCCCAAAGCCCTCGAAGGCCAGGAGCAGGAAAGAAGGCATTTCCTCTGTTCTCTCCCCAATCTGTTTTCTGGTGGGAGCCACTGCCCCTCAGCAAGTGGAGTTAGAGACAAAGGAGCCACGTGGGTGGGCACCTTTTCTTTCATTCTGAGGAGCCAAGAGGAAGTGGTCCCTCAAGGCTTCCTTCCTCCAAGGTACCTCCCTCACCTTCAGCCTAAGCTGGACTCAGTCGCCCAGTTCAGCTGGCACTGGCTGCCAGAGAAGGTGCCTCATGGGAGCGCTGCCACACCCTCCCCTGCCCAGCACCCTGTGTGGTTCCCTGTTGTCTCTGACATGTAGGAAGCCTGCTGTCAAGGGCTCCATAACCCAGCCCATCTTTAATTCACTTCCTCTTCCTCTTAGATCTGTCTTTTCACTCACACTTCATCTTACTCCGCTGCCTCTGGCTAAAATGCCTTCCTCCTTCCTCCGTGCGGCTTTAATCTACCCAGGTGCCATGACCTGGAAAGATAGCTTCCATTGTCTGACATTTTCCCACTCTGCTCAGTTATTGTAACTGCCTAGAGCCCTCTAAGATGTATACTCAGCAATAGATACATGATCTACATGAAAGAGTAGTGATTAGTGATGTCTGCCATGAGTATAGGAGGAAGTTAGTTATTGATTAGTGATGTCTGCCATGGTTATAGGAGGGAGACGTTATTGATGAATGATGTCTGCCATAGGTAAAAGAAGGAGACATTATTGATTTTTGGTGCCTACCATGGATAGAAGAGGAAGTGGACTTTGGCTAGAGCCAATGGATATCTGCCTCTCCCATGCAGCCTATAACAATGGCTTGTCTTGCTCATCATAGACTACCCTATCAATAAACACCTTATTGTAGGGGCTCTGGGGGGGTGGGGGTGGGATCTGGCTCATTTCCATTCTCTATCTGATCCAGATAGTTAAGGACCCCACTTATCATTGTCGTGGCTAGTTCTGATGAGAGTTCATCTGAAGTGCTGGCCATGTCCCTGTCCCTGTCACCACTCCATGAAGGAGGGTCTCTCGAAGAGCCACTGGGGGTGGGGAAACAATGTTCAGAGTGATACGTGGCCTTTTCAGGGTCAACGAGGCAGTGAGTGGTGGGACCAGGACCCTCTGGCCCGAGCCCTGACGTGTTAGACTAACATGTTTCTCGGCGTGTACTGGTGGTCGGTGCGATCCTGAGACACTCGCTCTGGGTGGAGTTGCTACAATTCTACTGTAAAGTCTCTGAGGCAGAAACTTGTCATATACTTTATTGTATCCTCCTCTGACACAGGGAAGTACCCAGCACAGCCAATCCAGAACTGATGGGTCCCTGCTCTTTTGGGGGTGGGTCTATTTAACATCTTACAGTTCTGTTATATTTTGGGAATATGGGTTGAAGATCACAGATGCATATAGAACGTGGGGTTTGGTTCGAAATGTCTCAGGGGTCCTAAACACACTGCTCCAGGGGTCAAAACGGCCCCTCCACTCCTAATGAAGTGTCTAACTTCCACAGATGCAGTAGCAACATTTTTCCACAAGAGGGCAGTAAAGACAAGGCTACCAAACCCAACTCCTACACAGCCTCATAAAGCAAGGGGAATCCGGTGGCGGGAGTGTGGTTGTTTCTTTATTGTGGCTGCTGTCACAGCAGGCTGACGCAAAGATCTAATGGATAATTTCCTTGCAACTTCCAGGAGAACGCGGGAATGGGCATTTAGCCATCTATCTCTTTGTCCAGCCTATATTTATTGAGTGTCTACTATAATACAGCTCTGTGCTGTCTGGGATGCGAGGGAAGACCATGCAGGATAGGGTTGACTGGCAAACTCTAGTGCATTTGTGGAAAGATGCCCGAAGTCTGGGAGGCCCAGAGTTTGTCTGAGAGTCAGGAGGGCATCCTGGAGGAGGTGACATTTGAGCTTACATTGACAGTCAAAGGTGGGCATCCCAGATAGGCAGAACTGGAGAAGGACAGATAGGTTTCATAACTGAGATTGTTCATCATAGTCCCTTCCTCGGATGGCCTGAGTTGTGGACCCAGCATGCCTGAGAATCTTGGGGGTTAGGTCTGGGGGAGTGGTAGCACCAGGGCAAGGGTGGTGGGCTAAGTCCCTGGGAAGCCCTGGGGTAGTCGCCTATTCTCTTCCCCTCAGTTTGTGGAACCACAGCTGGAAAACCGTGGCAAGCTAGGCTGCCGCCGAAGTACTGTGCAGGAACTGTCACCTGGGGGCGCTAGAGGGCAGGTACACCCTTCCTGCTGTCTCCTGGAGGCTGAGGGAGCAGCGTGGTTCCTGTGGTCTCAGGGGGCCACATGGATGGAAAGGTCCAACCATGTGTGTTTATCACTACCACCGCGATGATCTCACAGCAACGACAATAAAACCCTAATTTTGGTTTGCTGAGAACGGCCGCGCCAGGCTTTTCCCATACAGTAGCACATCCTTGTCCTTACTGTTCCCATTTTACAGCTGAACAAACTGACGCACAGAGATTTAAGGAACGGAGACTCGCTAAAAAGTGCAAGATGCCGGGCCTGGTAGCATAAACCTGGAGCCCGAGCTGCTCGGACGGAGGCTGAGGTAGGACTGAAGATTTAAGGCTAGCCTGGGCTACAGAGTAAGTTCAGTCTCTGAATCCTTGCCCACCCCCACCCCCACCAACCTCCCCCCCCCCACACACACACACGGGAGCCACCAAGAACCAAGATCCAAACTTACTGTGTTCATTTAACCTGGAAGTTCAGAATTCTTCCATTTCCAGCTGCTTCGATGGAAGAGTCAGTCACTGTTGATCTGATCTGCGAGGAAAAAGTTCCTTTCTGGGGCTTTGATTGTTTGTTTTTCCCTTGACAATTCAGTTACCTTGAATTCAAGTGAACTGGGGCCAGAGAGATGGCTGAGCAGACCAAGGTGCTGACCAATGACGGAGTTCAGTGCTTAGGACTCCTCTAAGCTCTCTTTGTACCTCAGCACGAGTTCCAGGGCACCCCCAAATCAGTCAATCGATTGATCAATCAACCCATCAGTGAAATAATTTATTTAAAAACGGAATCTAACTTAGGGGCAGCGTCTTAAAGTCAGTTGATGTCTGTGAGCTGAGCAGTGACCAATGTAGGACCTTGTAGTGAGGATGGAGCCAGCCCTGGGTCCTCTTCCCTCCCCATGCCTCCCTGCAGCGGCTAGCCTGGATGGATTCTTGTATCACCCTCCTCTCCTCAGGCTTGCCTGAAGAGCAGGCGCTCCCGTCCCTGAAGGATGGCTTCCCCTTTTCCTGCTTCACAGGAAGCCAGGCATACCTCATTTCAAGTCCAGACAGGGGCGATGTGGCCCTGGGTTGGTCTTCTAACCTCTCTGGCCTCAGTGTTCTCAGTCTACAAGGTGAGTTTCTCTTTTCCATTGCTGTGATTAAAAACAGTGTAAGGGAGGAGAGGTTAATTTTGGCTTACAGATCTTCTATAGATCCAGCGGGGCCACGGTTCAGTGCAGCTGTGCTCACAAAGCAGAACAGGACGGGAGAACAGGGAAGGGACCAGGCAACAAAGCCTCAGAGCCTGCCCTGCCCCCACAGGTTTTTTCCTCCACCCAAACCACACATCCTAAATGTCCCATGAGCTCCCCAAATGGCGCCACTGGTGGAGAACAAGTGTTCAAACTCAGGGGACACGTTACACTCAAGTCACAACAATGAAGTATCACTGTGTTGCACAAATTTAAGGTCCCCAGTTGCTTTTAATTATCACTGAAAATAAAAATAAAAACTGCTGCTCAGCTGGGTATTGTGGTGAACACCTTGAGTTCCAGCATTTGAGAGGCTGAGGCAGGAGGATCACAGTGAGTTTGTGGTCAGCCTGGACTATAGTGTGAGATCTTTTCACACACACACACACACACACACACACACACACACACACACACACAGATGTCAATTAAACTATATCTCAATGATGAAATGCTATGTATTGTAAGAAACACACACATTATGATGCTATCTCATGTAATGGATGTTTGTTCAAGAAATGGTGACCTTGTGGTCCCCATATAAATCCCTTAGCATAAGTGTCTTGCTCAGAGCCACCACTGATGGAATATGGGGCTCATTAGCCACATTGCAGTTTGCTTAGGGTCCCTGTTGGAATTCCCTCTGCCCTCAGGGAGTGCCTCTCTAGCACGCTCTCTCTTCATGCCCCCAAGCTCTTGGGAGCAGTTTCTCCCCAGGCAAGAACTTGGACCCAAGTCCCTTCAGAAACAGAGAGAAGAAAGTACCTTGCAAGATTCTCCGGGAAAATTTGACTCCTCTCTGTTCTCGGTGAGCCTGTCAGACTCCTACCTGATTCTTTGAAAGTTGGAACATTAGCTGGGTCAGCAGGGAGCCAAGCACACAGCAGAAGTTCTGTGCTGCAGCAAAACTTTCCTTCCTCCTGAGGCATGATGGAGTTCTCTCCCCATCCCCAGCTCAGTGCTGCTTGCTCTTGCAATGGCGAGGCCTTTTCAATTGCTTGAAAGTCAGCCACAAGGCGACTGCAGAGGCCAGAGGCAACCTCAGTGGCTGCTAGCTCTGCAGACCCAGAGCAATGAGCCAGGAGCCCCTGTCACTCACAGCTGGCAATTTGTGGAAGAGACTAGTCATCTATCAGTGGGCAGAGCGGGGGTTCTCTGGCAGGGCCATGGTGCCTGGCCCTACTGCACACAAAGTCTGTCCATTGCCTGGGCCTCGAGGCTCTGGGTCCTATTGCCCACACAGTTTCTCTATTGCCACGGTCTCCTGGTCCTGAGCTGTGCTGTACAAACATTATATCCACTGCCTCGGCCTCGTGGCTCTGTGCCTTTATGCTTCCACTTGAACAGAACTTAGGAGGAGAGAGAGGTAGAGACAATCCAAAACACTCTGCTATTGAAAAAGGCTGGCCTGCGCTCTGCTAAGACTTGGCCTTTCCAGGTGGCCCACAGACTCGCTCACATAGGCCAAAAGCAACCTGTCCCAGACCCTGGTGACCCCAGGGGGTATTCTTCAGAGGCAGAGTGATACCCACTCACCTGCCCTAGAATCGGGGTGATCTCCCCCCTTTTCTGAGCACCAGACAAGGACCTTGCCTGCTGCTCTGGAAATGTTTACTGTAATGCTGACATGGACTGTTCCAGACCCCCAATGACAGTTCCCAAGCCATGCAGCATCCCAGGCAGAGGAGTCTACTGTGGGACCATTTTTTTTTTCTATTTTTTGGTAAAAATGAGCCATATTTTACCTTTTGTCTACCTGTTGGCTGATCCTCCCTCTTGAGAGCCAAGGAGGAAGAAGCAGTGTTAGCTGAGGGGAGGGAGGTAGGCAGATCTCTGAAGTAGGGCAGGTACCACAGTGCCCAGCAGAGGGGCTGGCAGAGAGGGGAAGCAAAGACTGACGGAGCTCAAATTCCAGAAGGATTGAGCTCATCTCCCAAAGAGACTGTTCTGGTGGAAGATCCGCCTCAATTCCCCTCCCCATCTCTTTCCCCAAACCCACCCCTTCAAAGTCTGCCAAACACAGCTTCTCCCCCAGAGAGGCTCAAGACCACTCCCACAAGGTATATAAACTGCATCGCAGAAAACAGACACGTGGTTCTTCCAGTCTCTCTTCCCAGTCTCCTCTCTGAGGGGCTGGTGAATCACCCAGGAACACTTTACCCATCAAACCTGAGATTTTCCTGATTCGGTTTAATTTGGATTGATGTGTCGGGGGAGAGGCCTTCAGGGTGCAAAGACTTATCAGAGATGGCGGCGTCTGAAGCCATCACTGAAACCAGATTGAGTCAAGCTCAGCCTTCTCTGTGGCAAGGGCATTGCCTTCCTCACATCCAAAGGGCTGTTGACGGAGAAAGCCTTGCCTCCCCCAAAACCATTGCCACTAACTCTCACTTAGCAGAAAACCTGACCTGAGTGGTTCTGAAGCCAATTGTAACTTCTGTGTGTCCCACCAAATGTGAATATTAATCAAATTTCATGGAATGCACTAATCTTCCGGAGCAGAAGGCACCACTGCAGATGCTGTGGCTGTTACATAAGATCATCTAGGCAACAAATTATCCTTTTTCTGAGATCTAAAAGGAAAAAAAATCTCAAGCTGGGCTTGGTGCCTCATACCTATAATTTCAGCACTCAAAGTTTGACACAGGAGGATTGCTGAGAGTCCAGGGCTAGCCCGAGTTAGCCAGTGAGTTCTAGGCGAGGCCGGTCTGAGCCACAGTATGAGAGACCTTGTCTCAAAAACATTAAATAATACTCACAAGGCCAAGGCAGGGATCGTAAGTTCAAGGCTAACTTGTGCAGCTTCATGAGATTCTGCTTCACAATGAAAAGAAAAAAATCCCATATATAAAAAGTCTCAATTTTAAAATGTGTCAGACCCTATAAAGCTTTGAATAAAGACCTTCCTCAGAAGATGATTCTGGAAATCAAATGGGGTAATGCACATAATTCACCATACAGGATTTAGAATGTTCTTCTTAGTTCTTCCTAACTCCAAAGGCTTTCCTGCTGGTTTGGGACCACCAGACAAGATAGGCAGTGGATTCCAAGAGGTGCCTCTACCCCAGGAAGCCACAGGGAAGCTTCTCATAGCACCAGGAGACACCTCAGCCCCCTCTCCTCCCTCAGATCATATTTCTCTCCAAGAATCCAAGTACACACGCAAAGCTCCCTCTCTGCCCATTAATAGAAAGAACTGCTTCCTAGAAAGAGCTGCTCTCTTCCCCTTCTGCTTCAGGTTGCAATAATCCTTGTTGATTATGAAGGAGAAAATGCATTCGCATTTGTCCTTGATCTGCTAAGTCAAGAAGGACACAGAAATGCGGCAGCACAGCACAAAGCATTCTCGCCTGCCCCTTCCGAAAGGCAGTTCCCATCGACTGTGGGCTTGCAGGAACTCCCTTACATGTGTTTTTGATGCCGAGACTAACATTTGACTTTCTTCTCCTGCTCCGAAGTGTTATCCAAATAAATAAGAATTAGAAGATGTTTGTTTAAACCTAGATACATGACCTGATGTTTTTGTCTCTCTTCCGACTTCAGCATAAAGCCTACCCACTTAATCCCCACGCTTTAAAGTGCGCCATTTATTTATATATTTATTTAATCAAGTCTGCATAAGCTGTGAATTGCCTCTTTCTTGGCAAATGTGCAGGCATGGAGGGTGTTTTGTAGTCTCACCAAGATTGACTGAAACCGGCATTGAAGCCACATCTTTCCAGATGTTGCTTAGGCCCCCTCCTTACCTGGGTCGGTGATCATTTTATAGCTACTGTTGCTTTTAAGATAAGGTTCACATCTGGACCCCAGGACCCCAGATGGAGGGTCTTGCACTGGTCCTTTCCCAGTGTCTCCTGGTACCAGGCCTCCTCTCTGGCTTGCTCTGATTTCCACCCGTCTTGGGTCCTTGGCATCTCCCCAGTCTTCCTCCTAGTACACCCCTCATTGCCTTCTCTTGGCTCATTATTTCCCTGTCTTTACCCCTGTTAAACGTTCCTCAGCCTGGGATCTGCTGTTCTCTGGAGTCAGTGATCAGTCGTGTTCCATGACTGCCTTTCAAATTTCTGATCCAACCACTGGATTTCAGGGTTCCCAAAGCCAAGTCTGCATTTGTTAGTGCTTTAGTTTATGATAGATAAGACAGTTCCTAGGACATCTATTCGTGAAAGGACAGAAAAGTAAAAGGAGTTAGGAGGGGGACACAAAAGAGGAGAGAAAAAGGAACATGTCCTGGACTGAGGAGCCCTGCCATGGGGTGTTTTGGTATGTAGGACCAGAGTACTTTACCAAGAGTCTCTGTTCATATTATATGGTATTAGGACAAAAGGTATTGCCTTATTCTTCTGTATTTTATCTCTGGCAACAATTGAGATGAATGACCAACTAGAAACCTTGGCAGCAAAGGCCTGGCATGGAGACAGGTTGGCAAATACAGGCTTTGGAAAAGCTCAGACAGGTATTTTCCTGGGACTCATACAGTTCAGAATCAGTTCCAGGCTCAGGAATGAGTCAAGGAAGCTCCATGTTCTCAACTCTGGCTGACCTTCAGATACCACATAGGCAGGAAGTCAAGGGCAAATTAACATCAAGTGACTGCCACTTGAATGTTGAAGACTTGCCCCCAAACACCCCCAGAGCCCATCTTCAAAGACTAGGGGTAGATGCCTGCTTGATTTTTGCTCTATTGCGTTTAAGGAAAGCTCAGCCCACTCACTATCTAACTGCCGGGCTAATAGAGCAGAAATTCTGGTAGTCTCAGATGATGGTGACTACAGACTTGGAAACATCTATTCAGAGAATCACTACACAGGCAATAGCTATGGGTGTTGACTGCACACTGGCGGGGAGATCTGATTTCTGGGGTGGCTATGTTCTAGTACTAAAAATGGTTAGTTAGCAATCTAGTTAGCTAGGTAAAAAATAATAATTATTTAAAATGTGCTCAAAGACTTAAAGGATAAAGGATATAAAAAGATGAAGAAAGGAAGAATAAAGAAAGCCAATGGAACACAGTAGAAAGATGTAAATTATAAAATAAAAAATAAATGCTTCAGTTGAAAAGGAACAAGAAAGTATACTATGTGTACCCAACAACACACTTGAGTGAGAGAAAGAAAAAAAATCAACAAAATTAAAAATGGAAGGACTATAGAGAAGGCTCAGTCAATCAAGTGCCTGCTGTGCAAGCCTGAGGGCCAGAGTTGGAGTACAGTAGCTCCCATCTGTAGTCCCAGAGCAGAAACAGGAGGATCTGTAAAGCTCACTGACTAGCTCATCCACTCACATGGGTGAGCTACAGGTTCAGTGAGAGAACACGTTTCAAAAAAAAAATAAGGACTGGGAAAGCAATTGTTGAGGACATCTGATGTCGACTTCTGACTGCCACACTCATGCACACCCATATATACACACATATGTGCACATACATGTACACACATTCCTGAAGAAGGCAGTAATGGTAGACTTGAGGCAGAACTACAATATGTACAGAACAGCAAAATGAGTGTAATTTCTTTCAATTCATTCTTATCAATAATAACTTTAAAAGCAAATGGTCCAACGTGTCCATTTAAAAGGCAGAGCAGAACTGTGTGCTGTCTACAAGAAACTCATTTTAGATGCAAAGAGGCAAATAGGTCAGAAGTGTGAAGTGGAAAATATCTGTCTAGAAAGAGTGACCAAAAGGAACCTAAGTGACTACTGATATCCTGTAGTGGGTAGCCATTCCAACCTTGATCTGGAAGTTCCAACCATCTCGGGTCTTTAGGGTCTTCTCTTGGTCCCATCTTATTAGGCATGACAGTTACTGAAGCCTCAATGGGGGTTGGAACTTCCATATCAAGGTTGGAATGGCTACCCACTACATCATCCAGCATGACAGACCTTAAGATAAACATTGTTAAAGAGACTAAAGAGATTACAATGTTACCAAAAAGTCACTCCAGAAAATGTTTGTCATAACAGTAACTCATACACCTCAAAGCATAGATCCTCTCAATATGAATGATGAAGTACTATGTATGAGGTGGAATTGAGAATCCAAATTTAAGCCCATATGATGCTATCAATTGCCTTTGGCAAGAGTTTCAAGATCATTCAAGGAGAAAAGAATGA